TCTACCAAACACAGCAGAAACTTAAATTTTATGGTGTAAAGATGAAATAATTTGTCATTTTCAGGCAGAGTGTCCCAACATTGATGAAAATGTTGGGTAGTTTAAATATTAGAAATATAAGAAAATAATGCAATTGTTTATAATATGTAATTTGATATTGTGTACATTTTTGACCAAGATATAATTATTTAATAAATAGAGAGCATATATCTTAACTAAGGTTTTATATGCAGTGCAGTACTGCTTATTATATTTTGTTTGAATCCTAAAAGTACAGTTATTTATTTCTCTTTTAGAAATATTTCTTATCATATCTATCCTGCATTGTTTTAACTGATGTTTTTCCTCCTGAATGCAAAGCTAGAAAATTTTTCTAGGTGCTTTTCCCATTCAGTGTGTCCACATGACTAAATTCTAGAGAACACAGTGCAAAAGAAAGCGGGATATGTTATTTCTAGCCCACCTATTCTCCACCATGCTGATTTAAGGAGACTTGAGTTCTCAGTAGAAACACATTGCACTTTTCAACTAACGTAATTTAAATATGTTTGAATGAATGAGCTTTTTGCAAAGAGGGGGTTGGAGATTGGAGAATCCATATTTAATGGATGTTAACAGAGTTACTTTGATACCACCTTTACATGTAAAGACTAGAAGGAAGTAAGGAGTGATCAGAATGTAAAGGAGAGTGCCAGGAACAGTCTAGCAGCCTGTTGGGCACACTCAGGTCAAGGGAATAGAAGTCCTGCCCTCACTCTCCTCCTCCTCTCATTTCCTGTCACTGCAGAAAGCTCATGGTCAAGGGGACACCATACTAGTTTGGTGATGCTGTCTTACAAAGTACCACAAACTGAGTGGCTAAAGCAAATGCAATTTATTGTCTCACTGTTCTGTTGGTTATAAGTTTAAGATTAAGGTGTTGTCAGGTTTGAATTCTGCTGAAGACTGTGAGAATAGAATCTGTTCCAGGACTCTGTCCTTCACTTCACATTGTCTTCCTTCTCTGAAAATTTTGTCTGAGTATTGCAATTCCCCTTTTCATAAAGATCCTAATCATTAAAGGCATTCTGATGACCTCCGTGTAGTTCTATTATCTCTTTAATGATCCTATCTTCAAATAAGGTCGTATTTTGAGGTACTAGGGGGTTATGATTTTAATATATTAATTTTGTGGGATCACAATTTAACCCACAATGGAGCGCACTGATATAATCAACATAAGTCAGTTTCAAAAAACCAGAGCCAAGAAGAAGAGATTGTACAGTGGATCTGGAGAGCCCAGAAATGTTGTATACTGTAGACTACTGTACCCTACTTTAAGAAGAAAACACTTCTTTGTTCATATTATTTGCTTTTTACACAGATGTCTATTGCTTGTGATGCTGTTCCCAGGTCTCACTGTGGAATTTTATGATCTACCTGGCTACCACTGCACTTTTATACTTTATTCTCACTCTTTCCTACATAAATAATCTTAAAATAATTCCCTTTTATTCTTTTTTGATACCATTATATATTAAGGAAAATGTTTCTCCTGTCATCATCTAATAGATAAAATGTAAGGGATTCAGGCTTTGTATTCAGTTCTATATTATTGGAGAAAATATTTGTTGATGTGGGGATTTCATCATACATGTCAAACTTCCTACAGATTGTTCACTGTTCACAAAAATACTGTGCTCTTTTTCCCCCAAAATTGTGTGTAATTTATTATGTGTTCACAAGGCTGTACATAAAGGGTAGCTTATAAATGATTCTCTCAAGGATAACTGAGGATGTCCTCTCTGAGTCTAGCTTGACTTTGTACAGTTCGTAAATAAGAAACTGCCTACCTATCCCAACAATAGAGCAAAACTAATAATTTCTCTATGAGAAAGTTCTACTAGAATTCCTGCAGTTTACTTACAAATCAGGATGTTGACTGTAAGTTTAAGTATAAGACACAAATGAAGGATGTATTGTTTATTCAAGGTACTGGTTTTAAATGATAGCATTTAAGAAAAGAAAAACAAAACCCCTCCAAGTCCCTCAGAGTCCCATAGCAGAAGAGGTCAGAAAAACTAAACTTAATTCTATTTTTGAGTCTTAAATTTTACCTTCCTTCAAGGACAAAGTATATGGATGTAGTGACTTAAATGAAGAAAATTTTCCAACATGTCCATTATTAAATGCATGATCAGTTTTTATAACATAATTATGTATAAATGAATAATTATATGTTATTGTACAATCAATGCCATACTGTATATATTAAATAGTATATATTAACAATATAACTATTATACAATGTATTTAAAATTTTTATAAATATACCAACAGACCTGGATAAACTACAGCATCACATTTTCATATTTGTGTTTGATGGAAAATTCAGGTACATCTCAAACTCTCTTAGTAACTTGGGCTTAAATATATGTGTGGTGTTTAAAATTGGAGTGACAGATACATACCCATTTCTGTTTTACTTCTTTTTATTTAATTGTTTTTCAGCACTGGAAATTGTACTTGGAGTCTGTATGTGCTAGGCAAGCACTCAACCACTGAAATACACCCTTAGTCAACTTTACATTTTATTTTGAGGCAGGATGAAGCTAAATTGTTGAAGGTCTCTATGAGTTGCTAAAGCTGACTTTCAATCCTCATTCTTCAACCTCCCGAGTTTTTGGGATTACAGGCGTGCATCTCAGTGCTGGGCTCTGCTTTACTTCTGGAAAGTACCATAAGCTATTGCTCTGTAGTCTAACACCACTGCTTTTCCCATTGTCATTTTCCCTTTCATTAAAATATAGCTATAGCTAATTTCTCACTAAAGTGGTATGAGTATATATACTTTTAATATCTTCACTTTACAACTCTATATTTCACCTGATTTTAAATACTTCAAATTTTCCTCCCTGAGTTTTCTATTTTAAGTAATCATATATATATATATATATATATATATATTTTAAAGGACCATGTAACTCTGTAGAACAGCTTGTCTTTTTCCTAGTTCTAAAAAATAATAAGCTCACTAGTTTTTCATGGAGTATGTTTGTTTTGTGCTTTCTGTAAGAACTACATCATAGGATCTTGCTGTTCTTTTTTCCCCACAGTTAGAAGAGCATGTGAGGAAGGTCCCTTCTTTGTTCAGATATCAGGGGAATGTCATCCTTCAGCAGAAATGAGATGGAAAAGTGCAGAGTTGAGAGTGAAATGTGTGCAACTATTTATATAAGAGTCTGTTAATGGTCAAAAATTGTGAATACAGAATTCTTGACTGTGTTTAACTTAAAATTAAAGATTTTCCCCTTTTTATCTTATAATAACATTTTTATTGGCATAGAAAATAAATTAATGGAACTCTACTCTTGCTATTTACGAAGGGTAATCATAGAGAAGACTATATTTCTGTAAGTTTTTCTGTTACAATATTTCAGACAAACCAATGACCAGAAAAGAAATATTTCTTAATTTAGATGATTTAGATCAAATATCAAAAGAATGTCAACTATGTTTAATACAAATTAAACACAACAATGCATGTAAATGGAAAAATTATCATAGTGACATAACAAATAAATGAAGATGATCTTGCTGGGCATAGTGTCTCAGTCTGTTATCCCAGTGACTTGGGAGGCTGAGGCAGGAGAATCACAAGTTTGAGGCCACACTTGGCAACTTAGCAAGACCCCATCTCAAGGTAAAAAAATAAAAAGGTCTGGGGTTGTAGCCTTGTGGTAAAGCACCATTGTGTTTTCCATCCCCAACACTGAAAAAGAGGAAAAAAAAGTGATTTTTTTTGGGGGGGTGATATATATTCTTAAAAGTGGCATTGTAATGAGAACAGTGAAAAAATAGGTATTCTTAAAATTTTTAAATGTTTTGCACTTAATGTTTCCTTTAAAGAAGACTTCAAATGATATTTGGTCACTTTAAAAATACTGACTGAACATATCATAATGGAAACATTCATCAGGTTAGGAGGCAGGAGATCTGGATTCTAATTTTGCTCCCCACTGATGAGCAATATGATCTTGAGAAATTTGCCTATATTCTATTAGCCTCAACTTTCAAACTGCCACAAGGCTATTTTGGCTGAATTATTTCTCACTAAAATTCATATATTGAGCCAGGTGTGGTGGCTTATGCTTGAAATTCCAACCTCTTAGGAGGCTGGAACTTGAAGTTGAACTTGACTCAAGTTCAAGGCCAGCCTCAACTTAGAGACACCCTGTCTCAAAAAATAAAAAGTACTGGGGAGTGGTAAAACTCATGATGAAAAAACATTAAATCTAAATTAGATATATTTTGCTAAAAATAAAAAAAGTGAAGTTAAAAACAAATATTATGTTGCAACAGTGCTGGAAAAAACTAGTTACATATAAGAGGAATGAAACTAGACCCTTATTTCCCACCCTGCACAAAAATCAAATCAAAATGGATCACCAGCCTCGGAATTAGACCAGTAAGTATAAGTAGTAAAATAAAATAAAAGTAGGAATGAATAAAATATCATGTTACAGTTTTTAGATAGGTACCTGATTTATAGCTGATTTGACAAGTACTTGGAAATGGGGTTGCCTTCTGATACAGCTTTTGGAAATATCAGAAATGTACATTCTCTAATTTTTCTGGTTTGTGATATAATGGGTCTTTGTAAATTTTTTCTCTATGTTTCTGAATATTTCAAATTTTTACACTGAATACATTGTATTTTATTTATTGAAAGAAAACAACACCTTATTTCATTGCTATAACTCCCTAAGTGGAAAATAATATGAGGCTTTCAGAGCTTCTTTGTAATATGCTTATATAAGTTTGTTGACAATATAACCCCTATAACAATCTTTACTTAGTACACTTTTTTAGGATATATAGAAAAGCTTGGTAAACATTAATTCACATATAAGCACACGAGAATACTAATAAGGATAACCTCCATTTTAAAATGACGAGGACAATAACCAAAAGAATAATCTGCTACTTATGAGATTAAGTAGAAAACAAGTGTATCTTACCTGATAAAAAGTTTATACCTTTGTCCATCATCCACTCTAATGGTAGTGTGAATGCTTTTCAATTTTGTTTCACTAGCACAGAAAAAGTGGTACTAGAAGAAAAACATGTTTTTGTCAAACAGATTTTTACTATGAAATTAATATTTTATGGTTGACACAATCTTTACCAATACTTTTCTTGTTGCTTTGGGGGAAACAATAAGTTTGAAATTTAAGAAAAGTAACACCTCAAATATGCAAGGAAAGAGTGCTAAATTTCAAATGTAAAACTCACTCAACACAAACAGTTGCCAGTCTTCTAGTATGATTCAATCTTTTCTAGTGTTTTGCAGAACATGGTTGATAAAGGTTTCCTGTTTTGCTAGCAGAAACAAATGTTATTAGTAAGCACACACTAGCAGTTAAACAATGCAAAGACTAGTTAATACAATCTAGAGGCCAATGTTAATGTCACAGGAAGAGGGATTTAAAGGTTTTAAAAGTGAACCACACTTTCCAAGCTTTCTGATGCTTGAGGGCATCTAGGACCATCTGTAGTATGACTGCTAATGGGCCAACTAAATCATGGTCTAGAGAGGGAAACCATGTCTATATTGGGTATGAATGAGCAGGTACCCCTGCTAATCCTATGGGTGGGGGGGCAATGACTTATTAATTTTCGAAGCAAGCATATGCCTGTAAGAATATTGATTATATTGGGGCTGTTTTTCCCAAAAGACTTTAAAGATTTTTATTCTATCTACACGGTATCTATAACTCACCTTTATGTTAAGAAACAGTTGCCTAGTGTTTCATAACTCCTATGCATTGAGTTATATTTCAGGTGGTATATGTAAATCTTCACATAAGTAGTACAAATATAAATATATTGCTTTATATTTTGATTTTCATAATATTTATCCACTGCAAAGACTTCCTTTCCTTTGTCAATTTATAAACTGTAAATTGATTTTAAGAAGTATTTAAGCAACATTAAAATCTTCAATACAGATATGCACTTTATAGAAAAAAATTTCATACCATTTTGCTGTACATTCCTCTCAAGCCATGTATAACTAAGTAAACATTGTTATTTATTGAATTCTTACTTTGTGTCCAAGACAGAACATTTAGAACTTTTAATAATTTTGTAATAATTCATATGCTTTTTATGTTTAATACTTTGAAATTTATAAACTCAGTTAAGATAGTTATTTGAGCTAAAGTGATAATGTATTAACTAAAGTATATATGTGTGGGATGGTCTTAATTTGTTCAAATATACTAGAAAATTATTACTCATTACTAAATTATTACTTTTCTGTTATATTCAAGAATGTCAAAGTTAAACATTTATTAGATACTTTACATACAATTCTATTAATAGTACTTGATTTTACCTTTTATTAAAATAGCTTCAGTATTTTATATATATATATATATATAAAAATACATACAATAACTACTGTTTATAAAATTATTACTCTATATATTGAATTATAAAAGGAGTATGTAAGTGTCAAATTAAAAAACAAAAATTTGTGAAGGAGATATCATCTATTGTCTGCAGTATTTAGAGGTGGAAACTGAGGTGAGTGACTTGACATTAGTTAATGATGTACAGTGATTTATTGCACAGCTAATAAGTGCAATTGCCGATATTTGAATGTTTACAGTGAATATACCTACTTATAGTTTTGGTATGAGTAAAATATTTTTTAAAAAATGTTTGACATATTAAACTTTCCTAAAAACTTAAATTCCTTTTAATATTTTTATAAACAGCTCTGCCATTCTAGAATTTGAATAAGCCTTAAATTATGATCTCTCTAAAAGTACAGCCATAAATATGTCTTTGTGAAAACTGTAATGTAAATGCAATCCCCTTATGATTATATGTAAAAATTGGTGTGGAAATTGGAGCACAGTCTCACAAATCATCATAGAACAGAGGAATCTAAAAATCATGGTTGAATAACACTGAAATTTCTTCTAAATCATTTTAAGCAAGAATAATGTGAAGTGAAAAGGATATGGATTCTTTGATCTTTATAAAAGAGTGAAATTCCTGATGAACTATCTTTAAAACAGAAGAACATGTGTAATACAGTCACTCTCTGAGAGCTTTAGTTTGTCTGCAGGTTATTTTTAAGATGCAGGGAGAAAACAGCTAACTACTCTCACATACAGTTATTACATACTAGACACCATTCTATGTGTCTGTAAGAATTTATTCTTTTTGACATTTATTTCACAATATGTATTTATTTTATAATTTAAATATCACAATATATATTTATTCTTCCACACATTTTACAAGTGAGTAAACTTAAGCACAAAATATATACAAAGTCCCAAGCTCCTGAGAGCAGAGCTGGGAATCAAACCCTGAGAGCTCAGCTCCAGTCCAAGACTATGAAATCTTACTACCTTTTCTTAAAATAAAAATTGTCCAATAATTGCAGTTCAAAAAATAGTAGTATTATTATTACAGACATGCCAGTTTATATTTTCTTTGTTGTAAAATCTAAGGAAAAGAAATTCTCCAAGTTTCTTCAACCATTAGTTTTATAGTTCCTAAATGTCCTGGTTTAACATATTACAAGTTATTTTTTTTTTACATTTCAAAGTGTAAATAGTGACATGCCTTCATACTCCATTATTACTTAAAACATTTTTATTCAAAACTCCTACAGGTTCTGGTACTTACTCATGCTGCCTTTGATTAGAGATGTCCTCAGTAAGCAACTAGCTGTTTTAGAATTTGGTCATGGCAGTTGTATTAGCAGAAAAAAAAAAAAAAAATCACGCTGCGGGGAAACATTCTGACGTGACCAATTCTCAATTCTCTATATTATATGAGAGTTACCATCTCTTATATTTGCTGTATTTTTGCTTCATCTCAAAGGGCAAAGGAGATTTCTCTCTTAAATGAGAAAAGTGCTGTAGAGCAGAGACAAGATAATTTTTTTTTAGAGGATCAGATTGATGCAGGGTGATTAGTTATATTATTTCATTCATTATGTAATTCTATTTCTTTTTTTTCTGTTCTTGGTATTATGTGTTATCTACTAAAAACAACATAAAGTTGTTTTTAGTAGGTAACACATAATACGAAGTGTGTTTTGTTTACTCCAGAATCTCGAGAACCTGGCATAATGACAAGTGATAGCTACGTAGTTCAATGAATGAATAAACAGATACAAGAATGAATCAAAATATTTCTGCTTTTATGCTGCTATGTTGAGTTGATATTTGTATCAGCTATTGTGATAAATTCTCTGAATGTATTTTATTACTTAAGAAAAATGAACATTTCAACAAAATCAATCTACTAGAAGCTTAAGGTATACCTTGACCATTCATGGAAATTCATGGTGATATATCACATCATGAAAGCAATGGTAGGAAAAATACAATTATTGTTGCCTATAGAGGACTGCTGAGCTAGTTAATTTATTGCAATGATGATTAGAATAACATTACTAAAGTAAATTTTAGAATACTAATATGAGTAATTTGTTAAGATACAATAATGTTAGGCTTAGAACATATACTTTAAAATCAAAGTTGGCTTTTAAATTTTATTTTCTGTGTAATCTTGGGCCTTTGAAAAATGTTGTGACCCTTTACTTCAAACATTTACTGTTCCTTTGAAAAATGGTGAAAACCCTCTCTTCTAATTATCTTGAAATCTCTGTTCTTTTTAGTTTCACTGATTTGATTATTATGTAATGTATGCATATATCAAACATCATAAGGCACCTGTAAGTATATATAGTTATTATGTATCAATCAAAAGGACCCACAGTAAGAAAATTATAAAATCTACCATGTGTTCAATCAGCAATTTCAATTTTTTAACCTCAGAATTGTTTTGCACTGTTAAAAATTATTAAGACCTTCAAAGAGTTTTTTTTTTTAAATTGGGTTATGCCTGTCAATATCCACAAAATTAAAAATTGAAAGTCATTGTGAAAATTAAAAAAATATAAGAACACAGTATGTATCCTCTGAAAATTTCCATTGTATACTTATGACAGTGAGAATGAAAAAGATAAACAGTATGTTAATATTATCATGAAAATAGTCTTTTTCTTCAGGACTATGAAAGGATCTTGGAGTTATTTACATAAGGGTCCCCAGAGCACACCTGCCCGTTGATGTTATAAAAAATGGTAACAATAATTATATTTGGGAGAGTGGGAAACTGGAAAACATAAAAGTGGTCAACATAAAAACATAAAGAAAAGAAAATAATTCAAGTTAATTCAAATCATACTGTTTTGATACATATAACTACTAAACAGAATATATATATATATATATATATATATATATATATATATATATATATCTAGAACAGAGACAGCCTGTTGGTAAGTATAATAGATAAAGAAATGTTTAAATTTTATTTCAACAATAACCACTAATTCAGGCAGTCAACCAACTTTTTCAAATTTTCTTTAATAAATGATCTGAATGACTTACCTTTAAAGTACCATTTTCAATAAATAATTGAATAAAAAATCCATCTACTGAATTTGATTCTTGCTTGACATACAGCAGGAGTCCATAAGGACTGAAGGTCTGAAATTCCAGGGTGATGTTATTTTGTGGATTTAAAAACACATTCTGAAATTCTAGATAGGAATCTCCGTAATAGCAAACACAACTGAAATCTGTGGAGTCAGAAAGAATATACAGTTTAGGTTGGAATTAAATATTTAATACATGGGGTTTACATTATCCATATTAGCATAATGTTTTATGAAGTGGCTCATATGTGACTCTTTCCTCATATTCCAAGCTTGAGCACTTATTTCCTTTGGCATAGTCACAGAGGAAATAATCATGTAAATGGTTAGGCCTTATTACTTTGAATTTGAGGGTTTCATTGTAGAATCTCTTTGGAAGGCAGGGAATGTCTAGATGATTATTCTTCAACTGCTTTACTTAGACTTTAAAAAGTCAATGGAAATAGGAACATTTCCTAAAGACATCCTTATATTTATTGCTTCTATAAAATATTGATACAAAATTATGATTTATGTTATTTTTGTTATTCTGGTGGGGGTGGCTTATGAAGAAATGATAGAGAATACCTGAAACCAGATAAACCAGATAATTGTCACCTTTTTACATCAATATTCTATATTATTTAAATTTCTTTATAAACCTCCCTTGCCTTCTGAATGATATTTTCATAAGCCATAATATTTCAAATAAAATTTGAAGACATCTTGAGCAAAATATTTTAGTAGTTTATTTTTTTATTTTTATTTTTTTAAAGAGAGAGAGAGAGAATTTTTTAATATTTATTTTTTATTTTTTGGTGGACACAACATCTTTATTTTATTTTTATGTGGTGCTGAGGATTAAACCCTGCGCATGCCGGGTGAGTGCGCTACTGCTTGAGCCACATCCCCAGCCCATATTTTGATAGTTTAATTTTGTAAATTTATAAATGTATGATTAATGAAACCATATAGATTATTTCTTGGAATTAGTTTCTATACACTTTACATTATTATTTAGGGCATTCTTAACCTGAAACACTTATTTTGTTTATTATTTTAATTATTATAATTATTAACACTTATTGTACAAATTAATTGCTTTTCCTGTAGCACTTTCATACTCATACAAATAATATAGAAAGCCACTGTTTGCTTATAAATACTCAGTTGATATTGTTGATTGATGACCTTCTTGAAATAAAGAATTAATCTCCTTTCATTTTCTCACTTCTATTGTTTTCTTGTGACATCTCCTCCAACAACTGTGCCTCCTTTAAAAAAAATCTTCTAAATCATTCTTTCTAATTCATAGAAAAGATAATTCATGAAGGTTTGTGAATTTTAGTGTGCTAAAATATATATCCACTATAGAAAAACACTGTGTTTTGAATCTGTACTTTTACACTTCAACAGAATTTATAGCCTATGTGGAGCAGTGACAGATACAATTTTCAATGAAGCTTTAGAGACAATGTTCATGCTGAATTTTCAAACCTGCTAAAAACTTTTTTAAAAAAATCAGCTAAGCCTCAAATATATTTTTACTTTTAATCAGCAATAAGAAATCTTGAAATACTGACAGAAAACATTTGGGCTTTGTTTTTTAATCAAGGAATTCATTAGTGAAGCATGGCTCACTAATGAAAAGGATTGAAAACAGAACATTATGCTTTCAGTTTTGACATTCTAATCTTTTGTTGTTATGAGCTATAGACAGATATTTTTCTTCATACAGTTTCAATGGTAATGCTGAAAAATAATAATTAGAATTTCATATATTACATAGTTTTAAATGTTTCAGACATTTGTTTGAGCTGAGAAAGGACACAAATATTCATTTGATTTAAAGTTCACATTATGAAGGAGTGTAAAGTATTTTCAAAGACTAACATTAAAGCATGAATATATGCAATATTAGTGAAAAACAATACAAAAAAGCCCTAACATTTCAAACACTTTAGAAATAAATATATTGCCCAAATGATAGTAGCTAATTAAAAATCTCTTTAAATTTGTAGATATATTATTCTTAAAAACATTAAGTGGCTGTGTCCTTAAGTGATTAGTGCTTTATACAAAATTCCACACATTCTCAATTTGGGGCATATCATTTTATCCAAAGTACTAAGCATAGTATTTAATTTTTAAGGCACTGAAAGGACTTACTGTCTCTCATAAAAAAATGTGATTGTTTTTATTAATATGTGTTTGAAAAATGATGTTCTATTTGGTTTGGATTAATAAAGTTGAGGAAATATTTTACAAAGTGTACTGAATTGTTTTTTTCCTATTCAAATTCATGAAAACAAATTTTTACATTTAGCAAAAATTTTAGTTGGATAAGAACAGTGATTAAATAATAAAATACAGAATAGTGAAGAAAAGATAAATATAGAGACAATTTCCAGCAATGATGAGATAGAGTATAATAATTGGACATCTTTTTTCATTTTCTGAAATTAAATATAAGGTTTGTTCCTTTCAATAATCATTTTCCTAAATAGAAGGATTGTTATATGAATTGTGTGGTCATCATATGATAAGGGGATATGAATTTTCCCAAAGCTGGGAAATTAGCAAGACCTTGTCTTCAAATAAGATAGTAAACACTAAAAAGTCCTGGGGATGTAGAATGGTAGAGTGCCCCTGTGTTTAGTTCCCAGTAAGCACTAAAGAAATAAAGGTATGGTAACAGGGTGGGCTTAGAGATGAATGTATGTTTATGCAAATGCTCAACTGGCTACTTATAAATTACAGCAATTACCTCCTTCTGTATATTCTGATGTTTACAGAGTATGTTTTAATCTCAAACTTGTTTTTATCATTATTCCAATGTGGCAACCAGAGGCAGTTTAAGTGACATACTGCCTCATTCTTGTCCATCTCACCTGGTTTCCTATATTTCCATTGTAAGAGGAGGAAAAAATCTTTCCCAAATTGTGGAAAGTTAACTTCCAAAACTTAACTAGCTAGAATTGGGTCACTGGTAAAGCCCTCCAATGTGGATGCAGATAAGATCAGCTTCCATTGACATCTATGCAAATAGGTTTATACTGGGTAAGATTAGTATTTTGTTGGGAAGAAAACCTTAAAACCTAATTCTATTATTTTACCAGTTTCAAGCCTTATTTCCTGATAAATATCTGGATATCCAGATACTAAAACTGAAGGTGCTTCCTTATGTATCCTACCTATAGAGTTAAACTTTTATCGTTTAAACTTTGTGCTTAAGCTTCTAGGAGGTAATTCTTGCCTTTGCATCTAGCAGTTCAGAGTAAGTTTAAGGATGAATCTAGATACACACAAAACAAATTTGTTTGAGTCTTGGTTGTTGATAGATGAGAAGCTGGCAAAATTTTTCTTTTTGATATACAAGCGTGGGAGTACTTAATACTTATTAACCTGTGGTCACTGCTATTGTATGAGAATGAAGAAAATTTCAAAGGGTATTTAGAAGAAAATTAGGAATTAACGACTCTATCTCTACATCTTAAAGAAGTGTTTCAAATGCAATAATAGAATATATTTTACAATAAATGAATAAAAGTGATTCTGAGTTATATATAGGTATCTGTGTGTATTTATGTATGTGTGTGTGTGTATATATATATATATATATATATATATACAAGCAATATAAAACAAATATGTATAATTTTAGTTCTTTGATAAGTATAAACATTTTCTCCAAAACTATATTTTTAAAATAAAAATAAGTAATTAGAAAAACAATCAATTAATCTTAGTCTGAACCACTTTTTGACATATTGGTTAGCAGATAATAACCTTCTAAATATATTGTAAAGAACAGCATGTTTTTCATGCTTTATGTTCTATATATGATTAAATGTGTAAGTTGGATTACTGTGAGGAATAACTGAATACCAGTATTTTCCACAAGTTGATAATGACTCTATGAAGACTAGGTATTTAAAGTAAAACATAGATATGACAGACCTATTTCTAATAGGTTAATGTGAATATCAATGTAATCCATAAATATTCATGCAAAGAATGATTATGTACTATTTTTTGGAGTCTTCAACCTAGCTTAATGTTAAGAAATATTTTGCATCTCAAATGCAAGATGGTCCCTTATTCATTTCATGTTTTTTTAAAATAACATGTAGGAAATAATATTGAATATTTGTGATATGTGTGTGCATGCATATCTGTTTTCTGTTAATAAAGTATGACTTTGAGAAAACTTTCATGTATAACACTTAAATGTGTAACATTTATATTTATACCTTCATGTACAACAGATAAATGTTTACAACACTATTCATTGAGAAACCTATATCACATCTTGATTCTTGACTCTATCTGTAAGGAGATCAGCAACCACAAATTAGCCACAGATACTCCCTCTGACTTGGTTCTCTAAATTTATGCTATTCCTAGAGAGAAGAGATTGGATTTTATTATTACAAAATAGTTTCCATGTTAAATGCTTTATACTTCCATGTTCTACAAATTGTGTAATTAACCTTAAAATTCAACTTTACATAATCCATTTTAATTCATCTCAATTAGCTTAAAGTTCATGAATAAAGCAGAAGAAAATAGGAAAACTAGAATTAACCCTCTGTACACTGTGTGATAAATTTTTATTGATGTACATTAATTATACAAGGTGGGAAATTTCACTGTGGCATATTCATACACACATATAACAAAATTTGATCTGTATCACTCCAATACCTACTCTTACTCTCCCTGACTCAGATATATACCCTTCCTCTATACCAGTCGTCTTCCTTCTACTCTCATAACATCCTTTCCCCCTCTTTTTCCCCTCTAGTTTCCACATATGAGAGAAAACATTTGACATTTGTCTTTGAAATTCTGACTTATTTTATTAATGTAATGCTTTCCAGAAACCTCCATGTTCCTGCCAATGACATAATTTTGTCCATCCTTATGGTTTAATAAAAATCCATTGTGTATATATCCTACAATTTTTAAATCCATTCTATAGGTTGATTCCACAACTAGGTTATTGTGAACTGTGATAGGCATGGGTATCTGTGATAGGCATTGTATCACATTGTATCACATAGGCATGGGTATCTGTGATAGGCATTGTATCACATTGTATCATATAGGCATGGTAACTGTGATAGGCATTTATCCAGAAGAATTAAGGTCAACATATTTTA